CCTCCCAAGTAGCTGGGATTACAGGTGCCTGCCACAACGCCCGGCTATTTTTTGGTTGCAGCCATCATTGTTGTTTGGCGGCCCGGGCTGGATTCGAACCTGCCACCTTAGGTGTATGTGGCTGGCTCCTCAGCCACTTGAGCCACAGGCGCCGAACCAGTCGCTTTGTCATTAACAATGATTGCTTGAGTACAGGGGTGAGTGCACCAAGGGCTGGTAGTAGAAGCTGTCCCCGCAGACCAGCATTCTTCTCCGCGCTGCCAGCTTGCACCTGTGCATTGCCCCACATATACTCTCTCTCCCTCTGCGTATTTTAAAAATCTTTCTCACCACACAAACTTCTCTATTAAGCAGAGAACAGAAAAGAACACAAAAGCTAAACAAGCCAATCGCTCTCTTTGGAATATGATTTTTCCCTTGTGTGTGAAGTATTAACATAATGGAAAAGAACGATTTCTTTTGTATGCTCCCTAAACAGAGTTTACTGGGTCAGATTTTACCGTGAGCATTTATGTGCCTATTTCCAGGCATCGTCATCTGATGTTTCACTGCTATGGGTTTCTACATAGTGACTTCTATTTGGGTAACACTTTTGGTGCATTGACATCCATTATTCTATGTGATTTTCATGACAGCTTCCTGAGCGTGTCTGAACAGATACCTGTCTTGATTTTATCAAGTATGACAAAATAAAACACCTCATAAGTGGCAGACTAGAATAGAATTTTCCTTCCTACCTAGAGTGGATGGTTGCCACCATACCAACTTGGCCTCTTATCACAGGTACCCCCCTTTGGGGGGGTCGAAAGACCCTTTCACAGGGGTCGCCTGAGACCATCCTGCATATCAGATATTTACATTACGATTCACAAAAGTAGCAAACTTACAGTTATGAAGTAGCAATGAAAATAATTTCATGGTTGGGGGTCACCACAACATGAGGAACTGTATTAAAGGGCTGCAGCATTAGGAAGGTTGAGAACCACTGCCATAGAGCGGTAGAGAAAATATAGAATCTTGGCTCCTTTCTGGAACAACCTGATTCTTCATGTTTGAGCAGGCTCAAGAATTTGTATTTTTCAGAAGTTTCCCAGGGGATTCATGTCCATTTGGATCAGGGAACCATGAGATTATACCACCCTGTGGGAGGACCCACTGGAAGGGCATTTTAGTTACTTCGTGTGTGTGTGTGGGGGGGGGTTCCTTAGACCACTGGAGGGTGCTCTGAGTGGCCGTTTTAGTGGGTGTAATTTCCACTCACACTTCCCCCAACTCTGCTTCCTAAGTATACTCAGCAGGCTGGAGCCTCCAGGAGGCCCACAGTGGCGCGATTGAATGTACAGCGTCCAGCTCCTGGTAGAATACAAAAGCTAAATTATGAGGTTGGGGAAAGTTGAGATCCAAGGAAAGGTTCTAAGCAGGGGTTGACCTTATCATGAATAAAAACAGCTTGTATTTATTGAGTGTTAACTATGTGCCAGGCTCTCGTTTACTCCTCAGCTCTATATGCAAACTATCAGCCCCCCGCCCCCCCTTACAGACGGGAAAACCGACTTTTAGAGGGCGCAAATCATTTCCCCAAGACTCCAAAGCCGACGAGACCATGCACGACCTCAGGGCTACAGCGTCTCTCCACCTCACCCCCACAAAACTGCTAATCCGTCTACGTCCTGAAATTCGGGTGCTGTCCCCGCCATGCTCAGACACAAGGACACGAGCGCCAAAAGAACCAGACTGCAGGAAAGGGAAGGTAGGGCGCCCGGCGACCCCGCCCGCTCCCCACTTCTCTGGGGCCGCGGCTCGGGAACTACAAGGCCCAGCAGGCAGCTGCAAGGGGAGGAGGAGGAGGAGGGCCCAGGCGAGGTGGGAGGGAGCGAGCGAGCCCTCGCGCCTCGCCGGCGCATAGCGCTCCGAGCGCTCCTTCGGGCACTAGTGCGGCGGCCTCGGCAGCGGGCGGCGGCGAGCAGGAGCCCGAACACGGTCCAGCCGCAGCGCGCAGAGAAGCCCGAGCTGTGCCGGGAGCTGGACGGCAACGTCCGGACGAGACCGACACTCTGCTTAGCGCATTGCGGTGACCTCGCCTTCCTCTACCGCGAGCGCGCCGCAGCTGGAAAAGCGGCGGAGACCAAGGACTTTTCTGCGGTCCGGGCAGAGCCGCCCCGCAGAGCGCACTGTAGCGGTGCCGCAGTCGGGCTCGCCGCCGCGCCGGGGCCCCCGCAGGGCGATGGAGCCGGGTCTGCAAGAAGCGTGAGGCGCGGCTGCCGGGTTCTGGAGAAGGGGGGCACGGGGTCTGGAGACCCCCGGCGGCGGACGGGAGCCCTCCCCCCGCCCCGCCTCCGGGGCACCAGCTCCGGCTCCATTGTTCCCGCCCGGGCTGGAGGCGCAGAGCACCGAGCGCCACCGGGAGTCGAGCGTCGGCCGCGGGGCTCTCGCGACCCCGCCAGCACCCGAACGGAGCCTGGGGGCGGCGGGCTGGAGCCGGGGACGCGGTGCCCTCACTCGCCACGGCGGACTCTCCAGAGGACTCTCCTCAACGCCGAGTGAGGTAAGAGCCGCGGTGCCCCTAGATCCGGGCGGGTTTGGCGTCCCGAACGGCCCCCCGGCGCCGGAGCCTCGGGGCTGCACGCTTGGCCCGCCGCAGCCCAGTCGGGTCCGGCGCCTCCCTCCACTCGTTGCCCGCCCTCTCCGCCTCCCGGCTCCCTCCCCGGCGCTCCGCGCCCCCTTCGGTCTCCCCTCCCTTCCCTCCGTCCGCGTCACCTTCTGCGCCCCCTCCCCGCGCCGGTCCCGCCGCTCCTCCTGCCGCCCAACTTTTCCTCCAACTCGCGCTCGGGAGCTGGAGAGGCGGCGGCGGCGACTCTGCGGTGAGTCCGGGGAGGGACAGGGCCGGGGCCGAGGCGGTGGAGGCCCACGGTCTCCTCGGACTGCGGAGGAGGGCGGGAGTGGGCAGCGAGGTGGGGTGTGTGTGTGTTACATTCCACTCCTCCTCCTTTGGGTCCCCTTGAGGCATTCTCCCCAATTCCGCAGGTAGCTTTGGGCGGAACGCTAAAAACCCCGGATATTTCCAAGGCCTTTTTCAGTCCGGGGAAAGTCTGGGGTCCTGGTTGGGGACGAGTGGGTGGACTTGAAGAGAGAAGGAAGTGGTGGGGAAGGTTAGCTTCTCTTGGAAAAGGTTTTAAGGAGGTGCCGTCACCAAATGGCTGAGAGCGAGGCAGGAGTCCCCTTTCCAGAGGGGGTGATCTACTTAACAGTGTCTCAGGAAGCCTCTGAAGTTTGGGGAACGGCAAGCGACCAGAGGATGACGCTAAGTCCCCGTATGGGGCTGGAGCAGGGGGCACATTCGGTTCCAATCTGGCTCTTAGGGGTGGGGGAAGGGGGAAGGTTTTGTCCGGTGCGATGCGCTCGGCAGCGGCGCTTGTTGCTTCTCTGGCCCAGACCCTTCTGTCCTCTGCTTCCCGCTCCGGCTCCCGTTATGTTTGGTGTGGGGATAAATGAGAGGCTAGGATCCACATTTGCAGAGGAATTAGTGGACGTCGTAGAAGGGGGTTCATACACAACACACCATCTATGAGGCACTCTTTGGAAGAAGAGGGAAGCCTGCTTCTCCAGTCTGGGCCCAGAAGCCATCAGCTCGCTTGGAAAACATTTCTGCGGTGCCTTTCTCCCCCAGCACTCCCCCCTTCCCATTTTCCAGATGTAGCAGCCGCATCTGGTTCCGTTTCACTCCACACGGGTACACCGCAGCCACATTACTAAACATCCCTCTTCCTCCCCTCCCCCTCCCCTAAATTAAATCTGGGATTCTTCAACTTGTCTTTACTACCTCCCTCCTTAAAATTTCTGGAGTCTTGGAGATGAGGCGTTGGGATTTGCAGGAGAAAAGAGCGTTACCTTGGATCCCAAGTTATTTAGGTTCCCACCAAGTTAGCTGTTCTCTGCTGTCGGTGGCCGGGGCGGTTGGGATGTTTTCTAGTTTGTGCAGAAGAGAGGCTTCTTGGGAGATGGGGGCCAAGACTTCAGGAAAGGGTGGCGCATCTGCTAGCTGTGGCCTTTTTGGCCGTGGGTCTGGCCCACAACTGGCCCTGATGGAAGTTTCTGGAACCATAGCATGGCTTTCTGTCCTACTTAGTTGCAGTTGGCGCCGCAGGGACTGTCCCTGTAAGGAGCCGGCGGTTCCCACTGGGCCGCCCAGAGGCATCGCTGTCCACGCTCCCTTGGGCCGAGCCCTGAGCGCCGCGGCTTTGGGCTGGTGCCTCCAGAGGTTGTGTTTGCAAGGAGCGCCTTGAGCCGCAGCTCCTGGAGACAAAGTTGTGGGGCGTTTTACCTTTTTTTTTTTTTTTTTTTTGGCATTTTACCTTTTAAGTAACGGCTACAAGTTTGGAATCGGGAGTGGGATTGTCTATTTACCTTCTTTTATCATATTCTCTGGGTCAAGGAGGTGTCTTATGGTCCAAAGTTGTTGGAGGTGGGAGAGTTGATCTCTCTTACTCCTTTTCTAGCCTCTTTCAAATTGAAAACACTTCTCTGGTTTCCTTCTTTGGGCGGTAGTTTTGGAGGCTGTAATGAAATCGCACTTTCTCTAGACATGGTAATTAAGGTGACTGTTTCCTCCGCAGATGTGCCCTGCTCTTTGCACCTCCAGACCAGTGCTTTTTTTGGAATACCATCTAAATTGTAGAGCCTTAGCCTTGAGACTATCGAGCAGAAAGTGGCCATTTTCCGACGTTGGCCCAGCCTCCTGGTTTCCTCTCTGAGGCTTGTTTAAAAGCTAAGTAGCTGGGCCCTGTGGGACGTGCCTTGGTCTGGCTAATTACCCCCTCGCCTGGGTCATCTCCCTTCCTCTCAGTGACCGGCAGCCAGCAATCTCTGGCTTTGCCTGCTCTGTCCTGAGGGCCTGCCTCCCTAATGACTTGTTCACATATTTCCCCTCTGTGGGTTAGGAGGAACTCCAGGGCTGCCCCTGACCCTCAGGGTGTAGGGTGCTTGGGGACAGGGAGGCTGCTGTGGCCTGGCTCCAGCTGGGATGGTTGTCTGCTCCCTGCATCAGTGATGAGCTCCTTGAAATATCTGTTGTGTTCACTCTTAGTCATAGCTGAGTGTCAGCTTTTTAATGAGGGTCATCCGGATCAGAGCCGCTTGTGCTTCCCCTGCCTGCTTTGACCATACCTGCAGAAATGCCCATTTGGGAGGTATTTTCACAATGGGGATTTGGGCCAGAGTGGGCACCACTTGCTTTGGTTCCAGAGTGGACACTCTTAGGTTGCTTCTTATCCTTGGTCTATGGCTGGCCATGGAGGATGTTAGAGTTCCCTTAGGTACCCTTTGAATAGCAAAGGCACGGGAAGAAAATGAAAAAGGTCACCCCCCCACCCCTTGGGAGAGGGGATTAGGGTACATCCATGCACCCCCAGCCAAGTTAGCTTTATTCCTGGTGGGCTCCAGAGGGCGAGAAAATTGAATTGAGCATGGGGTAAACAGATTCCAGCCAGCCTTAGAAACCAAGGGAAATCCATGGGTTTTGCTTTTAGTAGTGTGTTTTTTGTTTGTTTTGGGTATTGACCTGAAACAAGACTCCTAAAAATAGAGGAGATTTGCTGGTGTGAGCTTGGGGTTCTAGCAGCCAGCTTCTCTATAGGCTTGTTTTTCTTGCCTCCATTTTTTAAGACTCTTTCATCAAAATGGCTGTTAGTTAGAGAGCATCCTAGGAAAGTTTGAGCCTTGTTGCTGCAGGAGGGAACAGAGTTCGGTAAAATTGATTTAGATGTCTGGTTCTGAAAGGGCCTCACATCGCTTGAGATGAATTTAATTTCCTCTTGGGAAATTTGTCTTGCGTTTGCCTTCCCCAGAGCTTTGTAAAAGGACGCACCAGGGACTGGTGGGAGTCCAGATGTATAGCTTTAGAGAAGATTCTGGTGTTTCCAGGGGGATTAAATACCAGACTTGGGCTAGGATATTTGTTTTCCCCCCAAAGCTTCATCTACCTTAAACAAAATTCTCTCATCACAACTCCCCCCCAAAAAAGAAAGAAACAACGTGTGATTCCCTTCTTCCCCTGCCTGCTCTCCTGGTGTACAGCACTCATCTGGGCCAACGACTTCAAAATATGGCTGATGTTTCCCTACATATTCTGCCTTCAGGACCAAAGTTTTCTAGATTATGTGCAGCGGTTGGTGTTCTATTTAATTAACTTAATTTTTTATACACTTCTTATTCCTAAGAATATTTGGACCCTTTTTTAGCAGATTCAAAATGAAAAATTTAATGCTGGGTGTGGTGGCTCTCACCTGTATTCTAGCACGCTGGGAAGCCCAGGTGAGTGGATTGCCCTGAACTCACACAGGTTTGGGACCAGCCTGAGCCAGAGCGAGACCCTGTCTCTAAAAACAGCCAGGCGTTGTGGTGGGCGCCTATAGTCCCAGCTACTTGGGACTTCAGCCTCTTGGGAGGCTGAAGCAAGAGAATCACTTAAACCCAGGAGTTTGAGGTTGCTATGAGCTATGACACCGTGCCACTCTACTGAGGGCGACAAAGTGAGATTCCGTCTCAAAAAAAGAAAAAGTTAGCATTTCCCTTGGACCAACTGAAATTTTGCAAACTGAGTGATACAACTTTTTTCAAATGTTGGTTAGATACTTGCTCTACCCTCTCAACATTAAGGTGAGAATGCTCACTTTTGGGAAAAGGGACCATTTCTGTTGAGAAGTAAGCCTTCTTCCCATCTGAAGAGATTAATGTTTGGGTGTGACTTCCTCAATTCTGAAGAATCAAAAATGGTAGGAAAATTTCTCAATTGGTATTCTTTGGAATAGAGTGTGGCTGGGTATTCTCAGCCTCTTTTCTGGGAGAATATCTATGCTAGTTTTTTCTCAACCTTTTTTTTTTCCTTCACTTATTCATTTAACAAATATCTCAGCACCTTCTATGTACACTAGGTGCTAAGGGTGTTAATAAGGGTTAGAGCCAGTCACAGTGGGTCACACCTGGAATCCCAGTACTTTGGGAGGCCAAGGTAGGAAGATCACTTGAACCTAGGAGTTCAGGATCAGCCTGGGCAATACAGTGAGACCTTTTCTCTGCAATTTTCTTTTAGAAAATTAGCCAAGCATGGTGGTGTATATCTGTAGTCCTAGCTACTCAGAAGACTGAGATGGGAGGATAGTCTTAGGAGTTTGAGGCTGTAGAGTTATAATTGTGCCCTTGCATTCCATCCTGCCAAAAGAGCAAGATCCTGTCTCTAAAACAAAAAACTAAACAGAACAAACCCCCCAAAGTTTAAAGTAGGCCCAGGCCTTGCTCTAAAGGAGCCTACGATCCCATGGGGAACATAAATAACAATACTATAAGAGGACCTAAGATGACCATGTGAGAGGAGCTAGCAAGGTGTTTTGTAAATTCAGAGGAATGAGATGCTCTAGCTAGAAGCCCCATGAAAGGCTTGAGGACTGTTACTTTATTAAGGTAGGACTCAGAGAATAGCAAAGACCTGGCCCCAGCAAAGGGAAGAAGGGCAAAGACTCTTGCACAGCATCGTGGAGATTGCCCAGAGCTATGACCCATATTGTTGGGGACAGAAATATAGCATTAGCTATGTGTAATTTTAGCTTTTCTAATAGCCACATTTGAAATTAAGTAAAAAGAAACAAGCTATAATTCATTTTTAATTAATTTCTTTAGATTTTAGGTATTTAGCCCCAAATTTTGAAAATACTATCATTTGAACATTGTAATCAGTGTAAAAAATTATTGATGAGGCTCGGCGCCCGTAAGCACAGTGGTTATGGCACTGGTCACATGCCCTGAAGCTGACAGGTTTGAACCTGGCCTGGGCCAGCTAAACAGCAATGACAGCTACAACAACAACAATAACAAAAATAGCCAGGTGTTGTGGCAGGCACCTATAGTCCCAGCTACTTGGGAGGCTGAGATAAGAGAATCATTTAAGCCCAAGAGTTTAAGGTTGCTGTGAGCTGTGAGGCCATGGCACTCTACTGAGGGTGACATAGTGAGACTTGGTCTCAAAAAAAAATTATTGATGAGATACTTTACGTTCTTTTTCTCTTACCAAGTTTTCTTTTCTTTTCCTTTTTTTTTTTTTGAGACAGAGCCTCAAGCTATCCCCCTGGGTAGAGTGCCATGGCACCACGCTCACAGCAACCTCCAACTCCTGGGCTCAAGTGAGTCTCCTGCCTCAGCCTCCCAAGTAGCTGGGACTACAGGCGCCCGCCACAACGCCCAGCCATTTTTTGGTTGCATCCATCATTGTTGTTTGGCGGGCCCGGGCTGGGGATTCGAACCCGCCACCTTAGGTGTATGTGGCTGGCGCCTTAGCCGCTTGAGCCACAGGTGCCGAGCCATCTTACCAAGTTTTCAAGATCCAGGGTATATTTTTTCACTTCTTGCACATCCCAGTTAGCACCAGCCACATTTCAAGCGTACAGTAGCCGCATGTGGCTCAGGGCCACTGTTAAGACCAGCCGAGTAGAGAGTGTGAAGATGGAGAGTGAGAAATATCTTAGGGAAGGTTGGAAGTTAGGTCTTCTTGCTGCCAGTTACCAAGTTTCCTGAGAGTGCTATCAGGCGTTACTCAAAGCACTATATAATAAGAATTGTAAATCTACAGAACCTCCATAGTTGACCACCTGTCTATATTTTCATAGACAGCACGTGCACCACATGTACATATCAGTACAGTCGGACAAGTTCCTTATGTTGACCACTTCTGTATGTTGCCCAGTTTGCTACAGTCCTTTCATTGGTCAACTTACAGAGGTTCTACTGTATACAACAATTGTAAACACAAATACATTAAATATAAATATAGTTGTGGCAGGCACCTGTAGTCCCAGCTACTTGGGAGGCTGAGATAAGAGAACCGCTTAAGCCCTTCTTTTTTTTTTTTTCAGTTTTTGGCTGGAGCTGGGTTTGAACCTGCCACCTCCAGCATATGGGGCCAGCGCCCTACTCCTTGAGCCACAGGTGCTGCCCAGTTGTAGTTCTTTATGTTTAATTAGTGCTTCAGAGAGGAAAGAACATGCACCTTCACTCGCACTGCCCATTTGATCCTCATAAACTCCTGTGAACCTGGGATGTAGCCCCCTTCAGCAGGGGGGAAACTGAGGCTCAGAAAGGTTAAGTGACTGTCACTGGGGTTACATGATTCAAAATGGAAGGGCATGCACTTACACTTTCTCCAGAGAACAGGAAGAAAAGACTTGGCTGTGAACTCATCAGCTGGTTTTCCTGACATCATTTTTGGACAAGGAGATCTGATGTGCACAGAATGTTTACTCTCAGAATGAGAGAGAGCTGCAAGGTCATGTGCGTCAACCCTTGCTTTCTCACCATCCACATCTTACACTGGATTAGTAGTCTGCAGAGGAGACAGTAGGCACTGTCACCCACACAGCATATTCCATCTTTATAACCACTTGTGACGCAGGCAGGGAAAACATTTCATCCTCCTCCAACAGGTAGAAAAACTAAAATGTCATGTTTGCCTCGCTGTTCTCCACCGAGGACCCCTGCATGCAAGTGAGTTGGGCTGCGAATCCAAGGTGACCTGACTGATACTGGAGAGACTGAGGGTGAGCCAGCTGCAGGGTTTCCAGGGAAGCTGCCGTGTGCACCTGTGAGGCTACAGGTCACATCTGTCCAGCAGTGGAGTAAGGAGGCTATTCTTAAGGGATTGGAAGAATTCATTAATTAGTAGAATGAGAAGGTGAGGTAAAGGAGGTGGTGGCAGTCCTTGGGGTCTCCAGCATGTGGACTATGGGTGTGTGTCGCTGTATTTTCTGCAGATGTACAGTGGGGTGCGTGCCCACTTACCTCTCTCATTCCAGGAGTTGGTGCCAGGAGGCTGGGTTTTCTTAAAGTTAGTGTTTTACAGATGTAAAACTTGAGGGTAGGAGAGACTTGCATGCTTTGGGGGAGGAATGAGCCAGTGGGAGGCTGGCAGATGAGCTTGAAGGGCATTGGTCACGGAGCTGAGAGAGGGCACTCTGCAGCAGGCCCACGCTTGTGAGGAGGTGGCAGGCTTTTCAAGGGTCAGAGTGGCCGAGCGGTGGTAGAAGCTGCCTGTTGGCTATGTTTGAAACCTAGCTTAATTATCTCAAGGATACCAGCCTTTCTTCCCCATTGGCTACTAAAAATGTACTCAGTACTCTGGCGGGTACTGTGAGACTTAGCTTTTCTTACTCTTTTTTGAGACAGAGTCTCACTTTGTCACCCTTGGTAGTCATAACAAGCTCACAGCAACCTCCAACTCTTGATCTCAAGCCATCCTCTTGCCTCAGCCACCTAAGTAGCTGGGACTACAGATGCCCACCACAATCTTTCTCAGGCTGGTCTCGAACTCCTAAGCTCAGGCAATCTACCCGCCTCGACCTCCCAAAGTGCTGGTATTACAGTTGTGGGCCACCATGCCCGGCCTAGGGTATCTTTCTGGGTGACAGGCCTGCCTCAGTGAGGTCTGTCTATGGAAGCTAGTGAGATGTGGGAGCTGGGCTTAGAGATGTATTCATCCCTACCCCAGGCTGGGACTGTGCCACATCCTAAGGACTAGAGGGTTCATCCGTGATTTCCTTCCGAGGGTCAGTCTTTTGACCAAAGGAATAGAGAATTAAGGCCTTTTCATATCTAGATTTGTCCTTATCCAGTTGGTTCAGAGAAAATTAGCTTGCATCAGATAGAGCCAGGTTTAATCTGAAAACCTGGGTGATGAGAAAGCCACCCCAGAGGCTCTGTGCTGTTGGTTACTTAGCTACATGTCCTTGGACAAGGTACTTGCCCTCTTCAAGTCTCCGTTTCTCAGCTTCTCCATTGCTTAGTGGGGGATTATAATTCCTATCTCCTCAAGTTTGTAGTGAGGAATAAATGAAGTTTTATAGTTAAAAATTAATTGTACTGGCTTGATGCCTGTAGCTCAGTGGCTAGGGTACCAGCCACATACACCGGAGCTGGTGGGTTCAAATCCAGCCCGGGCCTGCCAGACAACAATGACAACTACAACCATAAAATAGCCGGGCATTGTGGTGGACACCTATAGTCCCAGGTACTTGGGAGGCTGAGGCAAGAAAATCGCTTAAGCCTAAGAGTTTGAGGTTGCTGTGAACTGTGACACCACAGCATTCCACCCCAGGTAACATAGTGAGACTGTCTCAAATAAAAAAAAAAAAATTAATTGTACCTCATGGCATGCTTGACCTGTGGTAGGTATTTAGTATTCATTCTGTTTTCTGTTTTCTTGTTCCTTCCCTAAATTTAGAAAAAAATGAAAGAGAGACATTTACTTCTCTTCTGACTTGAAATCATTAAATTTTTAGTAAGCCTTGGGAGGGAGCTAGTGGTATTGCATGTGTATTCCCACTGGCTGAGCACATGTGGAGGAAGCCAGGAATCCGGGGGAATTTCTGCCAGCCAGGACTGACTCACTCAGGGGCCCTGCCTGGCTGGGTTGGGGGAGGCAGGGCTGGAGCACCACATTAGGGCATGTTCCGGGGAAGTAGATTCTCTGAATAACTTGGATGGTTCCCTGGAGTATTTAGGATAGAAGCCACCTGGAAGACAGAGACAGTCACCCCCTTGCAGCCCAGACAGTGCCCAAAAAGTCTTGTCACTTAGTAAATGTTTAGCACAATGATCTGTTCTTTAAGACCTTAGAGAGTTGTTTTAAATTTTACTGCTCCAGACCTGAGAAGGGTATAAAAGGCTGCAGATTCTGTAGGGGTCAGTGTGAGCCATCTCTGAGTCCTCCCTTGATTCTACAGTAGGATGTTTTTTCTCCCCAACTTTGGGACTCAGTATCTGTCAGACATCAGTGTCACCGTTTGGCTGTGGGGAGAGAACTGGATCCACCTTGAAGCCCCACACTCTGAGGCTCTTTGTAAGGAGTTGGTGAGGGTTGTGTTCTCCCCGGGGGAGGCTGGTAGAATGGAGATCCCTGTGATTTATATCTGGAGATGATTTATTTCAGCTTTCTCCTTACATTGGGCAGGGTAAGTTACTGGTCAGGTCTGGTGGCTCATGCCTGTACTCCTAGAGTTCCAAGAGGTCAAGGTGGAAGGTCATTTGAGCTCAGGAGTTTGAGAGCTGCCTGAGCAAGAATGAGACCCTGTCTCTACTAAAAAATAGAAAAATTAGTTGGGTGCTCTGGTGGGGGCCAGTAGTCCCAGCTGCTTGGGAGGCTGAGGCAGGAGGATCACTTGAACCCAGGAGATTGAGGTTGCTGTGAGCTAGGCTGAGGCTCGGGGCAACAGAATGGGGCTCTATTTCTAAAGAGGGAAAAAAAAGAGTAAGTTGTTGCTTCCAGCACCCTCTAGGCGGGGAGGCTTACCATGCCACAAACTTTAATCTTCTTTTTCTCCTTGTCCTTCTTCTATTCAGATTTTCCTAACTTTTCTTTTTTTTTTCCCCCAGAGTCAGCTTGAGAAGAAGGGTTGAGCTCAGGGTGGAGTATCCATGGAGGTGTGGAGCCTTCTCACCACCCTCTAACTGCAGAACTGGGATGTGGAGCTGGAAGTGTCTCCTCCTCTGGGCTGTGCTGGTCACAGCCACACTCTGCGCTGCCAGGCCAGCCCCAACCTTGCCTGAAGAAGGTAAGACCAGGCCTGGATAAAAGGGTGGGCTGGAGGTAGGTGATGTGGTCCAGCAGGAAGGCTCCTTTCCTGTAGGAGAGACTCTGAAGACATGTGGGCTGGTTTGTGCTGGGTTACAAACATAACCAACTTCGTCAGAGCCTGCAGTCGTGAAGGCGGAGGGGAATGTGCTCAGCGGGGCCGGGGAAAGTACATCTGATCGCAGCCCTAGAGTCAGCCCTTCAACCTAGGTGATATATGAGATGGGTGGTGCAGTAGGGTGTGAATTTGGGTCTAGAACTTGGATCAGACTATAGCAGACATTGTAGAAGGTGAGAACTTGATAAAGACCTCTGGCTTCTAGAGGATTATTCCAAAGACACATCTTCTGTAAGGGTCGTGGTCATAGCTTGTGTTTGCCATCATGCCTCCTTGGCCGTGTCTCACAGGCCCTGTTTGGGAACCTACTGAGTGGTTTGCTTTGGATGTGGACTATTTGAAGGGTTTAAAGGAGATTGAGAACCAGAGACCTGTGGTGTGTCGGAAACCCTGACAGATTATTAATGTCAGTGCAGATTTGTCCCAGTGCTCGTGAGATGTGCTTGTATTGTGCAAATATCCATGGAGAGGTACAATACGCCTGGTGGCTTTTAAGGGACTTTGAGAACCAATATGTGGATGTTTCTGCTGCCAAGGCGTGATGTGGCTTGTGATGTGGTGGCTGGTCGCGTAGCGAAGGTTGGTGGCTGGTAAGCGAGAGGCTCAGGGTACATGTGACTGGGCGGCAGTATAAAGGGCTGCAGGGGCCTGTCTGGCAGTGTAAAGGGTCTTCGTGCAGGCTGCAGGGGCCTGTCTGGGTGAAGGGTGAGAAGATGAGTCCACTTAGGATGGTGCAAGGAGCGGGGAAGGGGCTGTGAGACTTTGTGGAAAGTGCAGTGGCTGGAATGGGGTGTTCATGTTGCATTTAGTAATAGGACTGAAGGCAAAAAACCCCAGCAGGACGTGCTGGAGATCAAAGTGAGTGAGAGCATCTCTGCCTACATGGAGTTTACAGTCAGGTAGGGGAGAGATGAATACAGTGGTAAGTACGTACAAGGTAGACTGTATTTAAAACACAGCGGAGTTACAACAAAATACACTAGGAGTGCAGGGGAATGGGGAGTGGAGCATCTGAGATGGGGCCTAGGGGGTGAAGAGGCATTTGGGAAAAATGAGGAGCACTCCAACTGGAGCAGCAGGAGTGAGGGTGCAGAGGCAGGATGTATGAGGAGATCAGTTTGGCTGGTGAGTAGGGAGCTGGTGGGAAGTAACACCTGGAAAGATTGGATTGAGTTAGCGTATTCAAGGCTTAATGCTCTGTTAAGAAAATTGTGGGTACGTGGGTGCTGGGAAGCTTGAAAAGTTTTGAGCAGGTAGTGACATGATCCAGCTTTGAGAAAATTAATTTGGCAGCTGAAATTTGGACAGCTGGGAGGAAGGAGTCAGGAAGGACCTGCATTTGTGCAATTGGGTGGCCACGTTACTTCCTTTGACAAATTACACAGTAAGCCTTAGCTTGCTCATCTGTGAAATGGAAACAATAATAAAGGATTAAATGGAATAATCCAGATGGAGCGATTATTTGCATGGGAAGTATTAGTAGTAATTATTGCAAGAAAGACGTGGCAGAAGTTGGTTTGAATGTCTAGCTAGAGGAAGTGAGGTTGTGAAGTAGAAGGGAGCTGGGAGATGGTAAAGGAGGAGAAAAGTGGTAAAGACCCTGAAGGAACAGAATCTGTGAGTGTACCTAGGTCACAAGTCAGCTCTGGGTGACTGGCAAAGAGGGTGAGATGAGAATGAAGAGAGCGAGTCAGGTGGGGGGTTGGTGACAGGGGCGGGACAGACCAGACTGCATATTTAGATGAAGGCATATTCAGATGAAGGCGTCCAGAGTCCAGAGCCACCTGGGCTTGGGGGACCTTTGAGTATGTCCATTTGTAATGGACCCTAAAGTACTGTTTTTTTCTTTTCAACTTTCTCTGACAAACTCTTTGCAGCCCAAGAATGGAGGGCAGAGAAAGTAAACGGTATGAATCTCAGGCCTGGGCACCTGTAAGCTGAAGCTGTCCCAGCGTCAGGTCTTAGGGTGGTGGTGGAGGAAGAGGGTGTCATTGAAGCTGCTGGTTCTGGGACAGAAAGCAGAGGCAGTGGTGGAGTATGGAGCTGGGGACTGAAGGTCTTAATGAGGACAAAGTCCTGGCCCAGGGAACAGAGGGAAGGAGGAAAGGTAGACAGGGGCTCTTAGGAGGCCATGCAGCGGGAAAGATTGAAATTAGAGACCACTGTTCCTAAAAATCAGCTCTCAGCCTGGGCAACAGAGTGAGATCTTAGCTCTACAAAAAATGGAAAAGATTACCCAGGCATGGTGGTATGCGCCTGTAGTCCCACCAACTGTCCCAGGAGGCTGAGGTGGGAGGAGCATTTGAGCCCAGGAGTTGACGGTTGCTGTGAGCTGTGATCACACCACTGCACTCCAGCCTGGGTGATACAGAGCAACCCTGTCTCTTAAAAAAAAAATTAACTTAGTTGAGGCATAATTTACACACTGTAACATACACCAATTCCCAGTGTGCGGTTGGGTGTGTGTTGGTATGTCTTACCTCGTGTAACTAGCATCCCAATTAAGGGGTAGAACAGGCACAGTGGCTCACTCCTGTAATTCTAGCATTTTGGGAGGCCAAGGTGAGCTTGAGCTTAGGAGTTAAAAGACCAGCCTGGACAACATAGCAAGATATCCTGTTTCCACAAAAATTTTTAAAAATTAGCTGGATATAGTGATGCACACCTGTAGTTCAGCTACTTTGGAGAACGCATAAGGATTGCTGAGCCTGGGAGATGGAGGCTGCAGTGAGCTGTGGTGGTGCCACTGCACTCCAGCCTGGGTGACAAAACAACCTTCTCTAAAAAACAAAAAAAGTCATCCCCCAATGCTTCCCTCGTGTGTCTTTGTGGTCAACTCCCTACTTGATGGGTCACCTGTGTGTGGTCATTAATGATTTTGGCCATTATTGGTAAAACTGCTGTGGACATTCATATACTGGCGTGGGCGTAAGTTCTTCCTTGGACTGCCCTGGTTTTGATTTCTGCTGTACCTTTTACTGACTGTTGGCTCTTAGGAAAGCTCCTCTCTGTGCTTCTCTATAAAATATGTTGGTAATGAATATGTGGTCACAGGGTCATTGTGAATGTCAAGTGAGGATGTCTGCAGAGTCTTTGAACAGTGCCTACTACACAGTCGATGAGCAGCAGACGGCAGTTGTGAGTCCATTTTCCTGCGATTGCAGAGGTGGCAAAACACAGGGAGACATATGCTGTTTTCGGGGTGGGCTTTGAATGCTGTGAAACACAGCAGTGGGAAGCACTTGGAGAACGGGTCCCAGTGCCCCACAGGTGGGGCTGTCCCTGCCTTAGTATGCACTTTCTCGTAGCTAGTCCCTCGTGAGGACCACGGTGTGAGCGCAGCATCATCAGGGGAAATGTGTCTCCAAGCTCTGCAAACCGGAGGGAACCTCGCAACGTGGAGTGTATTGGATAGTGTTGGCTCTGCTGATTATTAAATCAGAGTGCTGCTGTTGTCTTCAAAAAACGTTCTACGTGAAAGAGTTTGTCCAAAAGGTTAAAGCAAACCACCCGGAAACCCTGCTCACACGGAGTCTCCCCGACCCTTAGCAAAGCCTTGCTGTGATTGTAATTGTGTGTGTGTGTGTGTGTGTGTGTGTGTGTGTGCAGCCCCTCCCCCAGCTGAGCGCGGTGCCAACACAGAGCTGTCTGCAAATGCTCCTGAGGGACCAGGGAGGGCCTGCAGTTTCTGGCTGTCCTTGGAAAGTTGATTTAATAAGGGTTCCAGGAAAAGCAGCCTCCCGCCCCTCTCCCTCTCCTTCCCCTTCTCTAGTTTGGGATTTCACAAAGTCTAAGCTTGTTTCAGATCAAGTCCTGAGGGGAGGAGAAGGAGTCCTGTTGGGAGACTGAAGCTGGTCCCAGACAAGGGGGATAGAACAGTGATTTCATAAGATTGTGAGCTTGAAAAGGGTACATTTCTATCTCTTTTGGAGTCAGATTTTTTTTTTGGGGGGGGGAACAAATGATTGTGTCCAAAACTGCTTGTAAGGCCACTGCTGGCAGTTGGGGTGGGGGTTCCTGCCACCCTCTCAGTTCTGTGGGTAGAACACCTCAGGCCCCGTGATGCAGGAGACAGAACAGGAGACAGAACCGTGTGGTGCAGGGTCTAGAACATGAGGCTTGCGGTCTCAAAGTGCTCGCCTCCATGCTCGGAAACCTGCAACCCATAAGCGATGTACAGCCCCTCGCACCCCCCCGCCCCCAGATGTGAAGGAGTCTGGTGGCCTGTGGGAGGGAGAGAGGTTTCACTTAATGGAAAAGCTGCATGTTTCCATTTCTGGCCACAAGCCCCCTGGATGCTGCGCAGGCCACAATGCGGGGCTTTGTCTCTGTTCTGCAGGACCTGCACCCTGGGGGAGAGGCTGCAAGCGGCCAGAGCAGTTGCCCATCCTCAAGTTCTAGGGACCCCCTATGCACCTCCCCCTATGCACCCCCCTATGCACCTGGCAACCTCCCTATGCACCTCCCCACCACTGGGGGTCCTGCAGCTGCCTTTGTCCCACAGGCATGTGCATTTCAGCCTAGCTGTGGAGAGAATCTCAAACAGGTACCAGAGGACACAATCATGCTGTAGTCCATGCATGGGCTGCAGCCTAGGGGCATCGCCCAGGAACCGCGGCTGCCTCGGGACACGTTCAGGACACCCCCCCACCCCAACCGGTCCCCAGCATAACTTCTGAAAAGAACATGTTTGCTTCTAACTCATACTAGAGTTTCTTCACCCTCTGTCAGAAGGTGAGTGAAATTACATGGAGCAAAGGGTGACTTTGGGTGACCCCTTTGAGAACAAGGGTGAAGGATTTCAGTCTGCAGAAACCTGTAAGGTGCTAAGCTACTGGATTTTCCTAGAGGATGGACTCTGT